TAACCGCTGCATAAACGAATGCACCCTTTGAGTACTTGTCGGTACAATGCCGAGCCGTTGTATATTGTTCTCGAAGAACCGCCTAGCCTGAGTGCGTTCTTTTTAGTAACTACTTCGCCTCTCGACTCTGTACGGTCGATACTATAGGATGGTGTGGTTATCGGCAGGAGCCTACAGGCTATGAACAGCAGGCGTCATCTAGTCGCAATGAATGACACTCTGTAGACGAACAGCTGATGCAAACGAGCATATTCCATGCTTTTTCGTGTATGCGGTGTATACGCGATCTCTTTAACAGTATCGTAGAGGTATTTTAATATAATAACGATGCTGATACGTCAGTTCCTATGCAGGAAATTATTATGGCACACCTCGTGCAACAGTTTCGCGCCCGTTCGATACACGCAGAGCGCGAGTCAGTATGCATTGGACGCAGTGTCTAACCTCGAAATACGGCTGCCAGTGCCTAAAGAAAAACAACCATCACGGCAACCGTTCGCCAAGAATTTATTTCTTGGCGTGTTCGATCATGAATTCATGTACTATCCCGAGCCACAGACCAAAGAAAGGCATACGCGGTTCTTCGAGTGGCTCCAGCCCATTGAAAAGTACATGTCTGAGAGTATGGAGGATCCACAAAGTGTCAAAAAGGAGGAAATTTTGTCTCATATGAGGGATATGGGCGTCTTTCGAGCAAACGTGAGCGAGCAGCATCTTGGTTTGAATCTCAACCAGACAGAACAGGCCAAGCTAGTGGAAGTACTCAGTTGTTTCCCCTGGTTGGGTTCTTATATGATTAAGAATCACATTGCACCCCTTCAAATCATTGACTGGCTGGCAACGGATGTACAGAAGACAAAGTATTTACCAAGGATAACAACTGGAGAATTTGTTCCCACGGTGTGTTTTACTGAACCCGAGAATGGATTAAATGTTAACACTATCAATACTGTAGCTACAGCAACAGACACTGACACACATTGGACATTGAATGGTGAAAAAGCGTTTGTAGCCAATGGACATGATGCAAATTTGTTTCTTGTCTTTGCTGAGTGCAGCTATTCGGGTGCCTATACAGCAACCAACAGCAGTACGCCCAATTCACTTTCTGTATTTTTAGTAGAGCGAGATTTCGGTGGGATTACGTGTAAGGATGTTAAGAATTTAGCTGGACTTCACAATAGTCCTGCGTGTACAGTTAGTTTTAAGGATACCAAAGTTCCCAGAGAGAATCTTTTAGGTACAGTGATGTCTGGAAAGAACATACTAATCGATTCGCTGGCTCCTGGAAACAGAAACATTGCTCCCCAAGCGGTGGGCGTATTAAGAGCTTTCGTGAAGTTGTTAACAAGGCATGTACTCCAGAGGAAACATTTGGATCAAAATCTGCACGAATACGAAGGAGTTCAAGAGGTAATAGGTAAAATTGCGTCCATTTTGTACAGCATGGAGAGCATGCTGTACCATACCACTGGGATGATAGACACATTTGAGAATCAAGATTGCGCACTTGAGAAAGCCATGGTGGAAACGTACTGCGCGAACGAGTGCGTTGCGTGTATTTATGAAGGACTGCGAATAATCGGAGCACAGAGCTACTTGAGAGAAAACCCGTACATACAAATCTTCGAAGATGCCTTGTCGTACTCGCTATTTGACAATTCCAATATCGATTCGGACACGTATATAGCTCTACTTGGTATACAACACACGGGCAAACATCTCCGCGAGCACATACTAAGGATACGCAATCCCTTCAATTTCCCGCAGCACATACTGAAGTGGGCCACCGGTAAGGAATATCGATTGAAACTTTATATCGCCGATCATATGCATCCGTCTTTAATAGACGGTGGCAGAGTGTTAGAAGATTGCATCACCAAGCTGCAAAACGCCTCGGTGCATATGTTACAACGTCACGGCACTGAAATATCGGGACGACAAATGGTGCTGCGTAGATTAGCCGAGCTAGCGACGAGAACGTTTGCACTAGTAACTGTTCTCTCGCGTACTTCCAGAGCATACTGTATCGGTGCGAGAAACAGCGAACAGGATCGACACGTGGCCGGCAGCTTCGCAATTCTCACCATAGATAGAATCAAGGTTCTCGCCGAGGAAATCGCTGCGGAAGACTGGAACAACGGCAATCAGTGTCACAGAACTGTTGCCGAACTCGTCTACAACAAGAAAGACTATTTCGCCGAACATCCGTTAAACAGAACTTACTAAACATTTACCGGATTTCGGTATGCTTTAGAACGCAAATCCACGTAACGGAAAAGAGGATAAAAAATTGTTTAAAATTGTGCGCTCCGAATCTAAGAGACATTACAAGAGTATATAAATTATTTTCAATCTAATTGTTTTTTATTTCGTAGTTAACATGTGACCACTGTAAGTACACTGTAAAGATATATATATATTATATAAAATTGATTCTCGGAAAACAAAGAATACACATTGTGTTCCACCGAGGTTTCTGTATTTATATATCAGTAGCAATTGTACAGTTATCTGTACATGTATCTTACATACTATAAGATCGAGTTGAAAAGTAAAATAAATGCTCTTAATCAGACTCCTCTATCAGGTATTCCTAAAAATCTTCATTTTAATCACAAGAATCACATATCGCTTAATACAGCTCGAAGTATCTTGTAACACTTTCACTATGTCAACCATGATTCGCTACTTAGAACTTCTGATGTTATACACGAAGAGGTGGACGGTATTTTTCTACAGACGTAACATGACTAGTCGTCCTAGACGCGTAAATACGAAACTCTATATAGGATCACTGGAAGAACCTTGGCTTCACTTTTGTAGTTTTCTCTTTTTTTTTTTTTTTTAATATGACTATAGTCTCTCCGCTTGAACAACGACATGTTCTTCCCGGTACGAGTCGGTCGCGGACCAACAGCTTCTAACGCAAGTGTATATTAAAACGGTACCAAATTCTATCTGGAAGTTCCGCTCACTTCGCGGATTCAATGTCAACTTTGGTATGATCGTCGGCAGAATTTGCAGCTCGAAAGTCATCTCGTCGCCGCAGTGCCGGCATTTGCCGATACAACCGCTCAATGGATATAACAGTAACGGCGCAGAATTATCCCTTGAATATCTGAAAGACCATTGAATAAAATTATTACTAATTTAGATACTTTATTTTTTGTGTGTATAGATATCAAGAATAAAACGTCACCAAAGATTTTACCGTAGCAGCTGTCCAGCATTCCGCTGTATTCTACAAACAAAATTGTGAAACATCTCGTCGCCGTGCCTGGGAATGCCTTTCTCATATTTTTCCAAGTCTGTTTCAATCGTTTTAGGATTGCCGGAGTCCGGCGTGAACTTCGTCGATGCGTCCGGATTACTGTGCTGATATTCGACCAACAAATCACGAACGTGCTGAGACACGTCCGTGTTGCGATCCTCTTCGTCGACCGAGAGAAAGATTTCAACAAACGAGTATTTGATTTCCGCATTTGTGATTTGCAACGGCAACGGAGTTACTTCCTGCAGTAAACTAACTAAATCACATTGCGGTCGCGTTGGAGTATCGATGCACACGACTTCACTCTCATCTCCGTCGATCTCTGCGGAGGCTTGAGGGGAATCCAAGCGACCAACAGCGCCTCCGCTGACTGGAGAATCCACGCTGGTTGGACTGAAATATTTACGAAGAAAGATATAATCACAGGCTGTTATTCATAAAGAAAATTAATCTTAATACAAACCTATTTGCATTTGGATCATCCACACGCAGCACAGACAACTCATCTCGTATCTCCTGATCTATTTCTTTATGCAGAGAAAAGTGGAATTGTAAAGGATCATTCCTCAACATGTTGTTTCCATTTTGTTCCGATGCATTATCATTTACGTTATCCCCCCAATCATCAGAATCTGACAGCCAAGCTGCTGTAGATGGCACATTAACGCTTCCAGATTCCGGTGTACTTGTTTTAGTTTCATCCTCTAAGTGCTGTATTCTCAAGCATGTCCAACTTTCATTTTGATTCCAGCAATTCGGATTGATACACGCGAATATGTATAACGTTCGATGATACTTTGAATTATCTAAAGGTGCGTACAATTGGAGTGTTAAAAGCTGATACAAACCGCACAGTCTGCATTGCGGCGACGATAGCGTGCTCTTTCCGTAACAGTTCTAAAAAAAAAACACAATCACAAACACATTGCATATATTATTACATAGTTATATGTGATTAAATTTTGAATCTTATTACAAATTAACTACATAACACTTGTAAATGTATTATTTAAAACTATTGTATCACCAGAATTCTGTCAACTATAATATAAATTGAAATTTAGGACGCATTCTAAATTTTTCAATAATGGCAAAACATCTATCACTTGTTTGTAAATATCTCATCTTGTTAAATTTTACACTATGCTAAACAGTTCATTCGAATGGCAGATCGATTTAACCAAAAATTAGACACTACGACGAGAAAAACGTTAATTCCCGCGAAAATAAATGCACAGCTTTGCTTTATGGTACCCACCGGATGCCCGCCGATCTTGTTCGTCGTGAAATTGAGCAAAGACCGATGCTTGTCGGTGACGTACTCGTCCTCGTACCCGAGATACACTTTCGTGCGATTGTCGCAAGCCATTTAAGTCATTCGCTCGGAATTACAGCTCTACATTGGAAGACTTCAGACGCAGAGCGTTTGGAACACCTGTACTGTCGTTTTAGTTACGACCGGGACAGCTGACACGCATCAGTAACGCTTAACGCGTGCGCCTTCGCTGACTATTCTGCTTCCCTTATCGATTTTTTTGGACTACCAGCATCGCCCAAGCGTTGCACGGGTAATGCTCATTTCTTCGTGAGAACGTTGGGATAAGAAAAGCGGGTTTTCTCACGCTCTCATCTTGGATCGAAGTATCGCGCAAATACACACGAGCACGTGTTACGATTACAGATTTCACAATCATCATTCTAACCGCGTTTGCAGTAGCTGAAATGAAACAGATATATTTTGGAGGGAGAAAGAAGGAAGTGCAGAAAGAGCAGTAAGAGAAGACAAATCTGTAGCAGACTTATGCTCAGGTTACACAAGAGATTTATTTCCTTTAACTGCGCTTTCAAACAATATTTCGGTACATGGCAGATATATATAAAAAATTGATACAAAATAGTATTCTTTATTTTATCCATTATGTAAAAGATGGAAACCTTACCAATAAGTTTGTTTATCGTTAAATATCATTTTTAATATCTTCTGACTGATCAGTCTCATAGTATGAGTAGGCACCGCAGACGTGTATAAAACGCAAAGTATATGATCATCATATTTAACAGCATGACACTTGTGATACTCAGAACACAAATACGTTTCCTTCGCGCCAGTAAATTTCCAAGTATTTGCAGCTTTATTCTCATCGCCGCTTTCTTCAGGCTCGACCGACAGCGAGAACGTCTCAACGGCTTGATGATAAAACGTTCGCAAGATATCTAATCTGTGCGATCCAGTCGCACGATTTTTCGCACATTGTGAGTTTCTGCCAAGCACAAATTTCTCCAGTTTGTAATTTGCCAATAGAAACCTAAAATAGTTACGCAATACTGTATAAATGCCAATAGTCAGTTATGTGAAATAATTGTACAGATAACTAATTCATTCCAATTACCCGAGTGTTTCATTATCTAGGGAGATTGATGCGGGCAGATTTCGTGGATAAGATTGTTCAACAGCACACAACACATCCATATTGCTTTTCCAGCATTGCACAGCAAACTTTTCAATTTCAATCAATTCTGGACTTGAGCCACATAATGCCAAAACTTCTACATGATTAATCAGAGTTATAGACACCAATCTGAAAGCTACCTAAATAAAAATTATAAAATTATTGAATTAAATTATAATATAAAAAGAATTTCTCTACTTTATAATTTTAAATATTACGTGTGGCTTGTATTTTCTTACATTTGGACTCTTACAGGGCAAAAATACTGGAATATCACGAGCGGTACAAATACTCTCTGAAGTAATTGCTATCGTTAATAATTTCCTTTCCAAAGGGTCCAGCAACCACCAGCCTTCTGTAGCAGCTGCTACACAACCATGCACCAGAATGCATCCATACATCGATTCCAAACACTCTACGAATCCTTCTAAACAAGTCTTGAATATATATCTATTAAGTATTATATACACAACTGCATGTTGCATCTTTGCCATAAAAAGATACCTGGAGCAATTGATTCTCCGAAGAGATGATGCATTCAGTCATATTAACCATATCGGTTTTTGCAGAAACTTTATCTCCTATGTCCAAGCAGTCCATTAATTTATCAATAATATGACTGCTGAGACGCATATCTTTCTTGAGCCTCTCTACATTTTTAGCATTTTTTATTTCATTGATGCCAGTAAAAAGGACCATTGCACCAAAAGTGGCATCCAGAAATTTGTCCAACACATACTTTGTCACGCCGCTTGCAATTGCTATTAATATGATACACTGTTCAAATTCTTTCCATACTACTGTTGTGTCAGGTAAATCTGTGCACAACAGAGTGATGTCCTGTGATTTTAAGAACATGTGAATTCCATTCAGCGATGCAATCTTCGAAAATGTCATCTGCAAACAAATTTTAGCTCTAATGCATCTGTGATTTCGTAATAAAACATAAATTTTCTCTTAAAAAGAAAATATATACAGCATCACTGTCACCCTTCTGGCGAGAAAACAAGGGAATGCCTCCGGAGGAAGTCAAGCACATAATATGTGCCGACATTCTCGTTTACATTCAAATATTGCAGTTGAACGTTAAGAATCTTTGAGTGCTCTGAGATTATAAAAAAATGTGCTGAAAGACCAACGATCTGTATTATGATTAATCATGTATCCTGTCGCAGAACGCCAAACAAAAAAAACCGTATATATTCAACATCGAGGAAGCTTTCATATAGCATGACTCAGTACTACGTTTGACAGTTACTTGATATGCGTGAAAGACCTTTAAATATAAAATTAAATGATAAACAAAAGATTAAATTAACCAACAAAAAAAAATTCTGAATTCTTAAGTCATGGTGTAACAAGTATCTAGAATGTCATCCATAATATGATAACGCCACAATATGGCGTTCTTCGTTTCCGGCTCGTGATTGGCTAATTTTCGGGTCCACATGCGATTTCGCCATAATAGCGGCGTACACGCCAGTTACCATTCTATCGACTTATTGATTCGCGTCATTTGTAGAAGTTGGCGTCTGGGTTGGAGACGCGAATGCAAGCGACATATTTTCTGTGCGCTGTGAACCCCGGTTGATTCGCTCCTATTGATTGCGTGACGGTGTGCACATTCTTCCGACCAAATTGCAGCACATAGCGGTTTTTTTCCACATACGCTTCGTCGCGACGTAACGATCACGTCGCGATCGGTGTTGAACTGCGAAGAAACCGTCCAAGGCGAACGGGAAAGAGTGAGTATCCCGACAGTGAAACCGCTTTCGAACCCGTTGGCGCGTAAAGCGCACTGTTTATGCTCGCATCCGCGTTTCGCCTATAATTCTGTCACTTGTGGCTTGCTATTACTTTTCGAGCTTTTCTCGCTGCGCATTATTATGAAAGAGATTTTAACAATATCCAAGCGATAGTAATATCCTCTTTCGCGAGGACACTGTATTTACATCGCTTTGCTACGAGGACGAAAATACCGCCATAGCGTTGTTGTGGCTGTACGATTGTTATATATCTTGATCAAGATCGTATAACTCATTCGAACCTATAGAAATGAAAATTCGAGTTGTTTCACTTGATTTCTGTGTGCAAAAAATTGATAGTTATCTGCTTTGTGAATAAAATTACGAGTATTTGTTCAATAAATATAAAATTTATCGAAGTACACTAGAGTATTATACTGTTGCAGAGACAAAGAAAAATTTTTCTTTACAAAAAATATATACTATAAATACACGTGCATACGGTTGTATGCACGTGTACTTGATTTAATTTTTTTTTTTTTTTATTGAATTATTCAATAATACTTAAATTCATAATTTAATTATAAATATAGTACAGCAGCAAATAATGACATAAAAATAATTAACGTGAAAGTTGTCAATAATATGCATGAATAAATAAAATCACTCATTAGGATTGAATAATTCTGAAGACTATTCCATAAACTAATTATTTTATTTTCCAGGAGCAACATGACGCCAGAAGGATATACACGTGTTTACGTGGGCGGATTGAATGAGAGTATCAAGAAGGAAGATCTGCAAATGGAATTTGAGAAGTACGGCAAGCTGAACAAGGTGTGGGTAGCATTTAATCCACCGGGCTTCGCCTTCATCGAGTTCTTCAACATGAACGAGGCCGAATTGGCATGCTGCAGTATGAACGGTGTGGAGATTATGGGTGCGAAATTGAGAGTGGAGATTTCGCGGGGTAGAGGCCGCGGTGGTGGCAGAGGTGGCGGTGGCGGCGGCGGCGGCGCGGGCGGTTTTAGAGGCAATCGCGGGGTTGGCGGTAGAGAATTTGGCTCTCGGGGCGGTAATTCCGCGGGCTACAGAGGCGGTACTTACGCAGATTACGGAGGCAGCTATTATGCAGGCAGGGGTGGCGCAAGTAGGGGCAGAGGTCGTTACGGAGAAGACTATATGTTCAATCGCAGCAGCGGGTATGTTACGCGAGATGGATATACGCAAGACGTCTACGGTGGTAGTGGCGGAGACTCCGGCGCCGATTACTATACCGGGAAGGACACGAGCACAGCGAGGTATCGAAGCCGCTCTCCCGCCGGCCGTGGCAGGTATTAACGATACCCATACAATCTAAAACTGATTTTACACCTGTGGCCGCGATCATTAGCTCCATACAATTTGTGCAATGTAGGGATAAGGAAAGTATGATCAAAATTAGAGATTACAGTTCTCTTAAAAGGCCTCTTCCGACGTATTGCATATTTTACAGTATCACTTTTTCTCATTTATAAATGCAATCTAAGCAGAGATTTTTGGATTCCCTATTTAAAAAATCGTATCATTTAAGAGTAAATAATCTGCTTGTGTGGAAATGTATCAAAAGCAACAAACAAAAGTGTGCTTAAGTGTCTGAGAAGGATTTATCTAGCTCAAGGTAAAACCTAAAGAAAAATTAATTTGCGAAAAAGAGTTTGGCCCGCAACTCCGCATTTTACGCGACTATAAATATTGCTACAGGCCTATTATGAACTATATATAAGGAAGAATTAAATGAATTGCAGAAGAATCCTACGAATTACATAGAGAACAATTTTTTAAGTGCATGAGGGCCCAGTGCTATCGATTATATTAAATACGACGAAATTCATTTAATTGCATGCGCAAAACTATCAAGCTATTCTTGGCTCTCAGACGGGAGTCAAAAGGCGGCGAAAGTAATGTGACATCCTGTTTTGCACTTCCATGTTCACAGTCATCGTCATCTACGTGAATGCACATAAAAGAACTACGCTGCGTCTTGCCAATCTGAACTGCGGGCCGATCAGCCACCCGCCTCGACGACTTCATTTCTGTCCAATCTACACACAGCGACCTGTATATAGACAAGAACTACCATTTGCAGTTTGCGCTGTGCATTGTTTTCCCTGCATCGTACCACGTCCACACGACCTGTGGTCGCTGTCAGGGAACGCTTTCTATGATTAACAGACTCGAAAGTTCCCTTAAATAAAAGCGTTCTCGCGCGAAACGAGAGATGCGACGAGATACGAATTACTCGCGGAATTACTCGGAATCATTAGTATTTCAGGAGGTAATTAATATAGGGCTGTAATCAACAGGGACTGTAACGCTATTTATAATCATTTTACTCTTTTAGGGAAACACCTTGCTTCGAGTTGTTTTAGATTTCTTTCTTTAGAAAACGTTTTTTTAAACGTGAACAGAATTTTTGTGGTCTCTGATTTTTTTTTTTTTTCGTCAGTTTATAATTATATCAATTTCGAAATTATACGTACGTATGATAGTGTCTGGATTATTAAAATTATATTAGTACCTCGTAAAAAAGTACACTTTGCTTAGCTCTCACTCTTTTCAGCTTTCTGATAAGTTTCAAAATTACAGTATGATCCATAATCTTGTGAATATCATTCTCGCGTATTTAGATAGAAACGTGTGCTCGCTTTATTGCTCTATGAATAGCAACGGTTTTATATGAATTCGGAAAGGAGATAGTAAATCGCGCGCAACACACTAGCCAAATGCAAACTGCTGCTCGCATATAACAACCGATTTATTGTGCAAACATGGAAAGCTAGGCAATTCCGCTGCGAAATTATCAACGCACAACGAGATCAAAATCACGCGATCGCCAAAGCGATTGCGTTTCTGACATGGTATATCTTCCATTTATTTTTTTTTTTTATTTTTTTTTGTTGATATACGTGCAAGGACAGTGCTGCATTTGGAAAGACATGTTCAAGCATCTGGTTTTGTCACTTCAGATGCTCATAAATAAGAAAGTGATAAAATAATGGTAATGATGTATATTACCTCCACTGTAAATGATATGGAATTGGAAATTGAGATATTAAATGATTTGCGCTCACTACTGCTCGCCACCCTGCCTGCCTGCCTGCCTGCCCGTCTGTCTGCCTGACTGACGGACTATTTTTTCATAATTTATTATGATTGATAACGTAAGCCATTTTTGTTTCCTCACATTATCGTGACACAAAAATTATTTTCATCAAATGAGATCGCATATTTGATGATCATCTTGCTATATCAAGTTACAGGCCAGTTTCGGTATTATTAGACCTTTTAAGTAATATTGTGTTTGTGCTGACACGCGTTTCTTCAAGTATTCTAATATTTTAATCAAATTCGTGATGAAATGAGGGAACTTCTTAGAATTTGGATCATAATCGCTTTAGTTCCATAAATTTCAAACGTGTACAAGTTCGTCGTAAGCTAAACAAGCAGTTACGTAAGTATGTCAAAAAAGAGAAAATTATTTTACCATGATTAATATTAACATAATTGAAGAAGAATATTTAACATATGTTCTTTGAGAATTGCTATAAATACAAAATAAGATTAATTAGATTAATTAAATTGGAGTTTAGCCACTGTCTTCTATGACATTTAATTTAATCTGTTAATCTTGATATTCAATCTTTTAATTCATTTTCTGCCGAAAAAAACATTACAAAATTAAAGTTTCTTAATTAAAATTAATTGCATACTTGACATTAATTGTTAAATAATTCAAATTTTTTAGGACATTAAATTTTTGCAATTACTGTTCTGTGATCTATATACATCCAGTCTTGTTTTTTGATATTAAAATAATTGAATATCATAAAATTATCATTTATCATAATCTATATCACAACAAATAAATGTTTTATTTTTTATACATGTATTTCTTCATACAAAAGTATATAAAATTATATGATTTTCTGCATCTTGTGGGAGATATCTTGCATATTAAATTTGAATATATGATATAAATTTAGGCTATTTATTCGTCATATTATATATATATATGTTTTATATTTTTATTTTATAGAAGTTAAAAGATTAGATCTTCGTTCAGTATTCTGGAATAGCGCCCGAATAAGTTGTTTTACTTGTAAAGCTGTGAATTCCTGTGCTAACGGTCCTTTTCCATTTTCCCAACGAAGTTCAATTTCTTTCAGCGACGCACCGAGCACTTTAATCAGCTCCAAAAATTTTCCCCACTTACGTACATGCTGTTGAATTTGTTGATCCTGTAAAACAGAAATATGCATTAACAGGAGACACGTCTATTTTCTTAAAAATAACACTCTCATTATTTAACTTTTACAGAGACCAGTTGGAGCACTTGCTATACCGCATCAAATGTACTTTTACAACTTTAAATATGAATAAATTATATTGACTTAAATCTTTGGTAAATTTTCTCTTTATATTTTCTTCATTATATACTTACAGGAAATATTTGCGGCGTGCGTTTCACCACCATATTAAATAAAGTTACCAGTTCTGTAGCTACAGCAGCTGGAATATCCTCGACAGATATGACTTTCGTTGTCAAATCGTCAACCATGGAGTTCGTTATGCATCCTACGGTTAAATACAGAGAATTAGAAATAGTAACAATGAAGCGAAAAGAATCTTAACTAACCAACAGCTTTGCAATAGATGTTTATAGGCAATACATCCAGCCAAACTGTCTTCAATAATTCCAGCTGTCTGATACATTGTCTTAGAGCACGCTCGGTACTAGGATGTAATTCAGGCGTTTGGCCTAGTCCCGAAAAACCTAATCAAGACCATCAAATATTTTAGTATTATGAATTTGCATTTTTTTTCAATAGCCAATAGGCGAATTACAAACCTGAATCCTTTATGATATCGAAAATTATATTTCTTTGATATCTCATATGTGCCAAGAAATATTCTGAACTAATGTCCCGCAGTACCGTCACTTGATCCGCGAATGTTAAATTCAATTTTTGTAAGTTCTCCGAAAATTTATCTCTATATTCGTGCGCCAATGTGAGCAGGTGGTGGGCAAGATACATACAATTATTATGAAACAGAGCTAAACATAGTTGCAATAATAATAATTAATTTTAATCCTGCTTTTTTTTAGAATTAAGTTATTCTGTTATGTATTGTTCTCTCACCAACTTGTTGCGGAATTGTTTCCAGAAACTTTTTATGATGTTCCGGCACCAGTCCAACGTACAATTCAAATATATTTCTACATGTGTAAAATAATCTGATAGCGCAAGCATCCGAACTATCGCGCATTTCGTTCAATATTCCTCTCGCTAATTCCAACGTTTCTTGTGCACTTTTGCTAAAATACAATTAATAATTATTATATCTGATATATCTGTTATTAATATTATATATTATGATGTTAGAAATAAATTTAAGGAATTCGACTTATGGAATTCATACAATTGTAGACATTAAATTATTGTTAACTTAAAAAAAAAATATACCTTATTTGACATTTTGGTAGGTGAAACGACATATCATTTAACTTCTTTTCAATAGAAAATTGGCTATTTTCAAATGCTTTGTTGATAAGATTAGGCGGATCCTGCAATAGAAAGGAACAATTTAAAAATGTTACTCTATTTTTATATTTTAATAATAGTAATACAATTCAATAGGTACCTGTGGCTCATATCGAATAGAATCATGCAGATCTTTCCTCATTATACTTCTAGCTTTAACTAACAAGTCTTGACATATTCTGTCAATGAAAAGCTTGTCAATATTGTTGGTATATTCTGATAGAAAGAGCTGATCCTTGGAAAGAAACCCTGAAATGTTATAATTGTTTAATCGTCTTGCATATTGTAGGACACAAACTCTCTTATCTAGAAAAAATAACTAGATATAAATACCAATTTCTACTAAATAAGCTTGAAATTCGTTAATCGCCTCGACGACAGGCTCAAAGTTTTTCAGGTCTGCATTAGAAGTCGGAATGGTGTGCGAGATACAATGTTTTGTCAACAAATCCGACAGTTGCTCCAGCAAATGTGGTTGCATTCTTTTGAGAAAAGTGTCATGTGAAGAGTTCTCTGTGACCAGCAGATTTAAATGTTGATGAAAGAATTTAAAAAACAATTTCAAATTGTATAATACACCTTTGTAGCATAGCGCCTTTTTCTTTTCCACTATTTTGACAGTGAACACTGTCTCCTTGACGACATACACCGAGCAGTGATCATAAATAATGGGACTGATTATACAATCAATCAATTTTGTCGATAGCGTCTGTAAATCATTTTCAAGATTATCAATGATATGCAGTCCTTGTATTAATTCCTGCAAATCATCATACTCATTGTTTATTGTGATAGAGGTAATTGTTTTGCCATTTTCTTCGTCGCTGTTCCAGCGAATTCGATCCTGCAAGAGACTGGACACTTCCGCCAAGTATAAGCGGAAAAGATTACAGTATTCATCTTTAATTGCTGCGTATATTTCAAGTTCTTGCAGGAGACTGTGAGGATTATCCAATAAGGATTGCATTTCCTGCAGAGCCTTTGCAGTATCAATGTACCGCTTTTCCTCTTGTGTCTTTTTAATAGATTTTATGCATTTATGCAGGCTTATCAACTGCTGAGACAATTGTAAGCTAATTTTTGATTCCGTCAATATCTTTAATAGAGTCTTCAAATCCTTCTTTAAACCAGACAGCTCTATTTTTACCTATATAATAAAACAATTTTAATTTATTATATGCATATTTCATGTACAACATAATAGATAATAACACAATAAATACTGATGAATAGATACTTGATCATTTATTCTGCTCTGCAAAATATCTAGCTCCTCCATTAGCTGCTCAGTCTTTTTTACCAGATTCACATCTCTTGTCAATTTTGCACTAAACTCAACATAATTCTCACCCATGAAGTCTTTGACTTCATATTCTAGCTTTGTTATCTCATTCTGTATTTCATAAATATTTTTATGAAGATTCTCCTTTTCCAGTTCTCCTGTGCAATAAAGTATTGTTTCTAGTTATCACAATTATATATTAATCATAAATATGATCAAATAATCTTTGAATGTATGATCTAAAAAAAACTTCCACTAGTCGAAAAGAAAAATTGATTCCAAATTTATTGCAAAATATATAGTTGTATTATATGCTAATGATTTAGTAATTGTTAATTTGAAAATTTATTTTGATATGTTTTTATAGCAATCTATAAACATTACCTACTGTAGCCAGTACATCTGCCACAAACGAAGTCATAATTGTCTTATAGATATATATATTTATAATAAGCTTGATAGAAAAGGTATTGAAATTTAGACAGCTCTCTTTTTTGTCACCACAATCTTCTTGTGTATACTTAAAAATTCACTTCTGTTTCAAAATCAACATTTATAACCTTAACACTGTGCCGGTTAAAAAACATACCCCGTGTTCTACGCACTCACAGTTATTAATTCCAATTTTATCATTACGATTTTATACAGGAAAAATACGAAGAGGGGTTTAGCAATGCTCACATCGGAACATTTGACACATGATTTCATATGATTGAACTAAACACAACCACCATGTTTAGGCGAAGGTAGATGCAGAGAGAAGCCTGAGAGGGGCCATGCCATTGTTTTTCGTACGACGCTTTCTCTAGGCCGTACAGTAGCGCTAACTGAATCCATTTTTCGAGCCGGCGGAACTACATGGCCAGATCCACTTTTTGCTATGGTAAAACGGCCGATTGGTGTATGTCTGTGCTAGATCCATAATTGTGGATCTAGCACAGACATACACCAATCGGCCGTTTTACCATAGCAAAAGTGATCTGGTCATGTAGTTCCGCCGGTTCGAAAAATGGATCCAGTTAGCGCTACTGTACGGCCCCTAGAGCAGGCCTCGGAATTATTTCATCTTTTCAGCCGATTCTCGTGGTATACGCCTCCTTTCCTCTCTTCACCGCGCGCGCGGCAGCCGCTAGGGCCAGCGCTGCCCTAAATGCTACATGATTATATATGAGAAATTTTTTACCAGATAGTTTTTCTTACTATTTTCTTTCATCCTAACTTTCATATATTACGCTTATATTAATTATCTTATCTCACAATGAAAATTCAGTTTCTCTTGAGAATACGCAATTGTTGTTCAAGAAATGTAGAAACTTCTTACGAGTATCAAGATTACGCAAAGTATGTTTAATTGTATTCACCTTTCCTCTATTTATTGAAACCTTCAAACATTGTTTCGCATTTTAAACATTTCTAAACTGCGACTGAATAAATTTTGTGGAACTGTTCTCTTTGCACAGAAATATACAACATGGAATATAATTTATGCAAAATATACTCACATCGTTTGATGCCGACGGGCTCTCGGCAAGGAAGATAAATCTTCTTTCATGCAGTATTAGAGAAACATTTTACGATAATAATATTAACAGCAATTAATTGCATTCATGTACTTTACTCTTGTCGTCAAGCTTGCATCGCCACAAGTTCGGATTAATTTTTCGAACAATAAATGAGCGAACAATAAATTTGGAAAAGGTTTATTTTGAGATCCTTTAATACAAGAAACAATTTTATAACAATCTGATATTGTTAACTACTTATTTTTTATGATTTTACTTTTATGTTCACGATATGTCATGTTGGTTTATCTTTTAAAATTTAATATTTTGAAAATCTGTTTGCAGTATCTTTAAGCAATTAATTAGCAATAAATTCTACTATATTTGTTTTTTGAAGCATCCCTATCTTTAATATTATTTTCTTGTTAATGAGTAGAAGCAATAAATCCGCGCTTAGAGCAATAAATTAGCAACAAATTAGCACTTAATTATGCACTATATCCGAATCCGATTTTTCCGATGGTGGGGGTGCCAGCTTAATAGAGGTAGTGGTAGGGGGAAATCATGCAGCGGCCATGTTGGTTGGCTACAAAAAGTAGCCAACCAACGGTAGGCGGTGTTAGTAACCTAACCTTGGCTTGGCGGCTTACAGGTTACATTATTTAAATTACAAATATATTTCATTTATTACCTTTACTTTTATATATTCATATCTTATAATTATGAATAATATTCATATATTATAATTATGAATATTATTCATAATTATAATATTCATATATTATAAATTCCACGCTCGTTTAGTTACCCGTAGCCGCCATCTTAGTTGGCTAATTTTTCCCTTGCCCCTCTGGCTAGCCCGTCTCGCTTACGCTCTGTCCATATATTCTTACGTCCATATATTTTAAGGCACATTGAGTTCTATAACATACTGGAGCGAGCCTTTCAGGAGTGGGGATGTCTCCATCGGTCGAAAAAGACAGATAGATTACGTGAGGCTAGTCTTCCTTGTCAGCGTATGTTTTCAGCACAAGCAATAGAACGTAAAAAGAGACAGAGATCCTCACATTGCTATATGTGTCCTTTTCTAAATCGCGGACGCAGTTTTCTTTGTTCGGGATACGGAAGGCTCGCTCCAGTATGTTATAGAACTCAATGGCCGCGTTCAGCAGACTCAACAGTTGTAGATTTTCCGCTGAATCTCGACTGTTAATTTGTTGGTTCTGAAGTAAGAACCAATCACGTTCGATTGCTACTAAGCGGTTTGTTCTGCTGAATGCGGCCAATGATAAGGCATTGTGTTCCGCCCCTACGGGGGGGCTCCACCATGAAGAAACTATACACATAGGTTTGGGTTGGAACCTCGCTTTGCGTGGAAAGTTGCGAACTCACGTGAAACCTCGCTTCGCGTTGTAAAGTGTATGCGTGGATGCAGTGGGAGTGTCTTTCCTATTATCTCATTTTTTTCAAAAAATATTGGTTCTATGCAAAAAATGCATACGACATAAATGATGTATTTTTTCAAGAGCTACAACTTTTATTTGGAACATTTCTTTGTTACATTAATATTTATCAAAATAATGTTAAAAAAACAATAATTTTTTAGTTTTTTTAATTTTAATCTTGAAAATAACCTTGTCGGCAATTTTCATCATCATATTCGTAATCAGCGCACCAAAATACAGTAGTATACCAATCGACAGCGAAATCGGTTGACTCTTTCGGAACTTTATCCAATTTTAATTTATGTAATTTTTCATATAATACGTTTATATTTTTCAATTATAATAAAGTAAATTACAATTACAAATAATAATTAACAAATGTCCAAAGTGTGTAAGTAATAATATAATATTAAACATTTAATTGCAAATAATGCATTACGGAATGCGTGAATGTTTGAATTAAAAAACAGATCTTTAAACGATCTTTTTGTTTGTATATATATTACTTTGCTATCATCTTTACAGGTTGCGTGATCAATTTCTAGACAAGATTTATAAACTTGAATAAGTCTACGTCTTATATTATCAATATTTTTTTAATTATTAAATGGAAATCAGATGTTCATTAAATGCAATAGTGAATTAAATATACATAATTTCGAGTTCTGTCGTTATAGATATTAATCAATTATTAAAGATAATGTATTTTTATTTTCAAGAATCAAATAATATGATGTTAAATGTAATATTGTATATTTGAAAAAGAAATTCACGCATTGTAGGAAAAATATATAAAATATGGTGTACGATATAGTAAATTAAAATCTACAATTTCTTTATGCCTGTATTATACTTATTATTGTCTCAATTAGCTTTACTACACATAGACGCAACAGTATATGCTTTTGAAATGCTGTTGTGAAATGGAAATGACTAATAAATATTCGTTGCTTTAAAAAATTCTACAACTCTAACAGAATGACTTGACTATCGCAAACTTAATTTGAATTTTAATTTGCACATTACCTGCATAAATAGTAAGAAGTGGCAAAATAAGTGACATTATCGTTTGAGTTTTTCATGTGATAAGTAATTATAGTCTTAGCACTCAGTTAAAAAAGTAGTTAGAAAATATTTATCGCAAAACAAAATATATTTCTACACAATGGGGTGGCAAGATATTTATAATTATTACATAGTAGAATTATCGAGTAAGTATGAACAATTAATTAAACAGATTAAAGACAGAACAGATTTATTGTAAAATAATTAATCCATCTGAAACTCTAATCTAAAATTATTCTCCCTATCTAAATAATATTTAATTATTCTTTAATACAATTTTTACTTAAATTTTTATAAATATTAAGTATTAAGTATATAAATAGTTTATAAGTATTAAATTTTACATAAAAAAATTATTTATAGTTATTTTAAGAAAAGTTATAGTTAATTTAAGAAACAGAGAAAAAACAATGCTATATACATATATGTATATACAATACGAAATTTGTATTGCAGTTTTGCATTTTTGTTTAAATATTGCATTATTATTATTATTATATTATTTTTTTCAGAGCCACTAACTCGCAATTGGCCGATTATAAGTTCACCTTTCGAAGTTACATTTATAACTCTTGCTTACTTGTATTTCGTTCTTAGCTTCGGTCCTCGCTACATGAAAAATAAACCACCATATAAGCTGAAAACCTTCATATTAGTCTACAATATAATGCAAATATTGGCAAACATTTGGATAGTAAAAGAACACATAACTAATGGTTGGTTTTCGAAATATACTTTTAGATGTTTTACATCAGATCCAACTTCGCCTAGTGCAATTAGAGTATGTATTTATAATATTATTATTATTGTTAAATAGATAATAAGTCTCATTCTATAATTAATAATTTTAAATTGTATAATTGCTGCTTGTATTGTTTAAAATAATCAAAATGTAAGAAATAATACTTATTTCTTTAGTTATTTTAACATTTTATAAATATGCGATAATATCCGTTTTAGCTCTTCAATTTGGTGTGGTGGATTCTATTATTGAAATTTTTAGATTATCTTGAAACCTGTATATTTGTGTTAAGAAAAAAACAGAATCAGGTTTCTGGTTTGCATGTATACCATCACGTGTCAAACGTAGCTTTCATCTGGTATTTTTTAAAATATTATTTAGACGAAAGATTAACATTTATTCCCTTGATTAATTGTTCTGTGCATGTAATTATGTATATTTATTATTTTTTGGCTGCGTGGAATTCAAAACTTCAAAAAAGTCTCCTCCCTATTAAACTATATATAACAAGGATACAATTGGTAAGTTAAATTTTTATTTCTTATATTAAATCTTCATTCCAACTATCATATTGCCAATTATTCTAGACTATAATGTATTATTTCATTTCAAAGTAATAAGTTGAAAGCTTTCAAATAACACAAAATTGTAATTTAAACAAAATAAATTGCAATTAATGTCTATAAAATGTCTATTAAATATAAGTAGTAATACAATATTATTTTATATTTAATTGCAAATAATGTATTGTGGATAATGTCTATAAAATGTCTATTAAATATAAGTAGTAATACTTGATTAAAAAAAACGAGCCATTGAACGATCTTTGTATTTTTTATACATTACTTTGTTATTATCTTTGTGGATTGCGCGATCAAATTAATACAAGATTTATAAACTTGAATAAGACTTCGTCTTAAGTTATCAATATCTTTTTAATTATTAAAAACAATCGGTTAGAGTTAAAATTTTTGATAAAACGTTTATTATTTGTTGAAGCTTTAATAGAAAACACACAGCCTTGTCTCGCATAACACAGCTTTAATATTCAATAATATACACCGATTACTACCACTTAATCTGAATGATCATAAAATATCTTAAAAATGTTTATGTTTTTGGCTTGTTTATGTTTATGTTTATGTTTAAATCAACATAGCTTTTTATAAAAAGATTCATAAATTTATATGTTTCACGTTTCTATAAATTTTTTTATCATGTATTTTATTTTACAAATTTACATTTTATAATAATGTTAAAAATTTTTCTGTCAATTGTAATGTTAATTATATAAGTTTTAATATAATTTTATGAAGCCAAAATTTAACAAAAATTTAAAATTATAATTTGTTTCTCAAAACAGGTGCAATTCTTTGCAATATTAATAATAAGCTCGCAAGCTTTATTGCCCTCCTGTGATATGAGAATTGGATACGCTATTGTTATTTTTACTATAAATATATTGATATTTATTTATTTATTCTTTGATTTTTATAAAAAAAATTATATGTGGAAACAAAAAACACAATAATTTTTATATAATAATTAACATATATTGATTATTAAAAATATTTTTATTCTAATATTACTTTTCATGACAATAATATTGTAATAAAAAATAAATCAAATAAACACATACACAATTATAAAGTCTTATGATAAGTCACCCACACAACATTATCTCGTCTTATGTTCGTCTGAAAAACATCTTAAAATCACTCAGATGCCTTATGAAATTGTCAAAGAGACGTATTTAAAATGTCTATGAGACGTCTTATGCAATAATTTTCGACGATTTAGAAACGTCTTTGAGATGTCTCTTGATTTGTTTTATAAGACGTCTGTGAGACTTATTTTAATATGCCCTTAAGACAAACGTTTTATTAATATAATGATTTTATACTCAAGTAGCAAATGATCGTCATCTGATGTTTTTTTATCGTCATAATTGGTTATTATATTATATAATATGCATTATATTATATTATATAATTATATTATATATATTATATATATATAATTATATATTATATATATAATTATATTATATGCTACTTGAGTAATTATTTTAGAATAGAATATTTTTAAAAATTGTTATTAATATTTTATTATTAATATTTTTTTACATAACACTTTTAAACATAATACTTTTACATAATACTTCTTATATAAATTATATTCAGATATATTGTTAAAATATAAAATCCAAATATACATATGCATATTTGTAATACTACTTATTATATTTATGTCACTTTTTTCAATAAATAATGGAGGCGATCTCCTGCGTGCCGCAACCATTCTTGGATAACATTCTGCACCTGATGAAGACTGCAATTTTCTACCGTAAAAATGTAATCTGAAATAATTACAAAATTATGTTTAAATTACAATTCTTTTATATTTTAATATTGAAAACTGTTGTTAAAATATAAAGAATTAAATGCAACAATTGTTGCATTTAAATTGTTAGATTGATCTAACAATTGCATATATTGATTTGTTTTTCATAATTGAAATTTATTTAAAGAAAAGTAACTAATTTACTGTGTTAATTATAACATACTTTTTAAACTTATGTTTGTAACGATCTATGGGAGACCGTTGGGATATGTGAGTACTTGTCAAGTTGTACGATACTCAAAAAAGAATTAAAGTGAGAAAAACTGAGATATATTTCTGGTACAGCTTAGGTCAGCGCTCGGAATTAGTTGCACATTTCGGGCCAATTTAAGAGACGACG